GTTGGGGAAGAAGATGAATGATGAAGGTCCAGGTGGCTGCAAGGTGGGACCAGCTGTTAGCTTTTTCAAAAAGTGCTTAAAAGACAGCTGTCCAATAACCAAACATTACAGTGTTTTCAAGGAAACTAAGATTACGTCGTTGACCCACTCTCCGTCATCTGCCAGCTGGATAGCTTGGTTAGGTTCTTTTTCTTTTTCGCTAGATAAATAGAGTGGTTGAGGAAATTAATTAATAAAAATTATAATATAATATCATTAAAATTTGAATTTCTAAAAGTAAATTTAAAATATACTTTTTTAAAAAAAAAAAAGAAAATTCACTAAATTGTGCAACTATGTATCTGTAAATTTTTTATTTGATTTTAAATATAGAAAAATAGATATAATAATTTTTCACCTAAAATTTTAAATTAATTTTATTTTCATCAAACACCCATTAAAATCCATTGCCGGTCCGCCACCGTCAAAGACAATATAAGACAAAAAAACACATTACATAATGTGAGCGCGTATCGTTAGATACTGGGGAGGAAAAGTACGAGAGGCTTTTTTCTTTCTAAAAAAGGAAATCTGTAATAACAAGATTTCGAGGAAAATACTAAATATAGTTTTAGAATATTTCTGCATCACATATATATATATACACACACACACACATATTTCATATTAATAAAAAATATGAAAAGTTTTTGTTTGAAAGAGTTTCTTCACGTACTATTACTTAACATATATGTGTTATTCTGCATTTTACATATTTTTCTTATAATGTTAAAGAAAGATTGTTTAATATATAAAAATAAATTATCAATTTCTTTATAAATGATTTGAAATTAATTTTCGTTAATTATCAGGAGAATCAATTTAGCAGGTTCCTTCAGCTTTCTGATTTTAAAATTTATACACATATATGTATATATAATAAACACTCAGACTATTAGCTTTTTATATATATATATATATATACATAGATATAAGCTTACACCCTTTTCTGTAGTTCCCACAGAAGACCACTGTTTGCTGAAATTTCTTGCAGTTGATATATATAATTTCGAGTCGCCATGACTTTTCAGCTTTGAACCAAAAGAAAAAACAAAGAAGGGGAATAGCAAGAAGCTAATCAAGTACTTTATTAGGATATCTTGATTATGCAATCAAATAATAAGAATATTTCTATAAATAAAAGAATTGGAATGCAATAATCGGTATATATAGAATTAACCCTTTTTTAAGAGGAGAAAAAAAAAAAAAGGAAAATCTACGGCATGTTGCATTCAGGAGGTAGACCTTGAGGAAATCTCTTTGAATCAGAGCAGTAATTGTAGATCATATAATTCTTCTGCACCCATCTCAACTTCTCTTGGCTTGTATTGTCAAGCTCTTGCGACAGCCATTCAGAGGAAGAAGATGAAGAGCTGGAAGTACAAGAAGATGCTCCATTAGACCAGACACAAGCGTTGTCGTCATTAAAGTTCCTGTAAGAAGCTGTGAAAGGAGCCTGCGACCAGTCCGTCTTCACAAGCCCACCTCTCGTAGCCCAATCATCAGCATTCCACAGACTGGAATAGATTCTCATCGGCTGATTCTTTGGAAACGGAACACCAATCGACTCCTCGTTCTTGAACTCTCTGATCGGAGTTCCGTCAACAGAAAATCTGAAACACAGATCAGAAAACAGAGGTTTTAAGTCAACCCAGTTAAAAAAATTGACCAAGAAATCAAATATTGAAAATTTGAATTGATGGTTTTTAACTTACATAATTCTTTGAGGATTCCAGAGAATGGAATACGTGTGGAAATCAGCAGTTGGATCAAACCAAAGATAGAACTGTTGTTCTCTGTTACCCTTTCCTTGACTAAACACATTAGTATGAAGAACGTAAGGATCACCACTCAAGTTCCCCAAGAATTCAAAATCAATTTCGTCCCATGTTGATCCTTTTGAAGATAACTGCACATAATAGCACAAAATCATGTCAATCACATATACATATTTATAGATAATATTGTAGCAAAAGAAGTTGAGAGGCATACATAATAAGCAGTAACGGTGCCAGCGGAGTTTCCGGCGACAAGCTTGAGCTGCATATCAATCTTGCCAAAAAGATATTCGTTCTTGGATTGAAAGCCAGAGCCAGAGGGTTTGTCAAGAGAAAGAGTTAGAAGTTCGCCATTGTTGAGTATTTTGCCGCGACCATCTCCCCAGGTGATGTCGAAGTCTTGGTAGAAATTACCGGCGGAGGCAGCCGTAAGTGAGGAAATAACGATTAGAGAGAGGACTAGAATCAGTGGAGAAGATGAAGGAAGTGAAGCCATGGGTAGATGTAAATTTGAATGTGTGAATTGAGGTTTTGGTTTCTGTGTGAAGTTGGTTTAGAGTGCGCCATGGGTGGTGTGTACTTATAGGGTTGTCAAGGCGAGGAAAAATCAGGGGAAAGTGGAGAGAAAGAGGTCTGAGCTGAGCTGGGCAAGAGTTGGTGGCTTTTTTTATTTTGATAAAATAAAATACTGCAGCTGGGATCGCAATAGCGCACCGCCATTGAAATTACTATTATATATTTAATTAAACACACGGTTTTGTGTGTCTCCAAATTATTCGAGCGAATTTAGGATGGCTAACGTATGGATTCTGATAATTAATAATTACTTATATAAAAATAACATTTGTTCTTTCAAAACTGAAAATAATATATTTTCACTTTTTTATTTTGAACTTACTATATAATTAGTCTAAGTTTATTTTATAATTTTTTAATAAAAATTGATATATTTCATTAATTATAGAATATACGAATACTAATTGAAGTACAACCTTATAATTATGATACACATAAATGCATATTCTAATCAATTTCATAAATTTTTATAAAGATTTGTAACTATTTTGTAAAAAAATAATGTGTAATTTGCTAATCTTAATTTATGTATTCGGTTTCTTCATTGTATTGTCCATTATATTCATTGCTAATAAAATTTTGTAATCAGTTACATAGTTTAAAACAAGCTCTTATAAATCATTTTCCGGGTCCTCTTCCATTTTGTATCTGGCACGCTACTTATACTATGTTCTCCTTTTAATTAATACATTATTCTTTTTTTAAAAAAATAATTATTTTAGGAATGAAAAAAGGAATCAACATAATATAACCTATCATGAACCAAGTAAAGAACCAACATAAGAAAGGATTCTCTAATTATAAACCTTCGATTCAGAGTAGAAAGAGCTCATCTAAGTTAGAGAATGAGCTACCATATTACTATTTAAAAATCTATTAGAAAGAACTAAATGAAAATAATAATTTAAAAGCTAAAATTTCATCAAGAATTAATCCAACATCTTAAATGAAGATGATCTTCGTGTTGTGGTGCCTTAGACTTTAAGAGTTTCCCTCCACATGAATAGCTTATATACCCCTTCTTTTTGCTATTTACAATCTACGCATAATAACTTGAGCCTCAGCTTCCCTAATTAATAAAGAATCTATATATGCATACTTGCAAAGATCACCTCCCCCAACTGAATTTCTCCCAACCGTGCCTAGTCATGCCCAACATGATAATTTAAGTAAGGCATCACAATTTATTTTAACAATACCATATGATGGTGGGCTAAAAGATTGTGAGAAATTTTGAGCCTCCTAATATATCCCAAATGAAGTCGTCAGGTTGTTATTACCTAGATCATGCTTGTTCATGTAAGAGCTAATTTTATCAATCACATCCATTGACACCACTCCCTTCCCTTAATAATATCATATGTTCCTTCCTCACCGTATTCCCCCACAAATTTAGAGAAACTAAATCAATTCATTTGTTTCAGATAACATAGATATATAGTAATTCATTCCATCTAAGATATATAAATATAAGAAATATATCAAACATTACTCCACTTCCATATCAACAAATAGAAAAAGAGCTGCCTAAAGAAGTATCCGACTATTTCTTTTGTTTTACCACATATAGGGTTGATGATATCAAGTGATATACCTCAATGTGCTAACTTACAATGAATGGGAATAAAGCCTTTCATTAATCTCTTGGCGAAATGTTTGGTACGTGGAATAATATATGCATTTCAAAATTTCTTCAAACATGCAGAATGTCTTCAATATAAAGTGTTTCTCTCCTTTTTACTCATTTAATAATATAATTAATTATATTCAGATCTAACGGTATAAAAGTCAAAGTCTCATAAGCCTACATCACTTTATCTTGAGGCCTCTTAGAGTTGAAATGAATATTAATAATATTCTCAATTTCTTGCAGAATCAATAGTTATTAGAACAACTACATATCTCATCATGGTCCATTAAGTAAGAACAAATCTAATACTCGATCTACATATGTATTCATCAAATTATGGGACCAGACTTTTCCACTGGAAGCACCACAAGCCATCTGTTTTGCCATACTCGCACTTGGTACCATCATCAATACAGAGGGTTTATGTGAGTTTACTCACCCACCCTTATATAAAGTAAATCCAAAGTCACTCTACACTAAATATGAGTTTGATTTTTTTAATGATATCTTTAATAACATTCTTATCCTAGTTTATCAAATCATCAACACACCCTTTAATTTTCATTTTCAAATTCGAAACATCTAGTATGACATTGACGCAAGTTAGCCCTTTTAACCATATTATTTTAAATTTTAAAATTTTTGTATTTTCTATCATCAATTCTATACTGAATTAAATTTAGAATTATTGACATATAATTTGACACATAATTCAACAAGCGGTGTATAAATCACAAAATGGTTCTTGACTACTCCGGCAACAAACCATCAAAGTCTCTTCTAAAATTTTCAACACCATTGCAACCATTATTCCAAGTAAATTTGTGTTTGCTATACCCAAGATAAAATTGAAATTGGCATTAAAAGTAGGTTTAGATTAGGGATAACGAAATTAAGGGCTTAATAACTCAATCTTAATCTATTAAATTGGGGTCAAGATTGAAGTTAAATTCTAATTAAAAAATTAAAAAATTTAAATGTAAGACTAAGTATCATACCTTAGTACTATTTAGCTCTGTAAAATATGAATAATTAAGAATAGTTAAATTTATCCAAACCACATAAATGAGTTTCCCATTTAGGCATATATATACACATATATATATATATATATCTTGTATTTGATATTTAGTTTTTGAATCAATAATACAATAAATAAACATGAATGATATAACAGGACGAGATTATAGAATCAAAGGACATATGTACTGCTGACCATCCCCCTTGATATTACGTCCCGTCCCAACTAACAGCTTTATTTGCCATAATAATTATAAAGACGCGTTTGGGCATTACTATTTTTTCTTTTTCAAAAGAGTTCGTGAATGGTGATTGGCCAGTTGAAATGCAATAAACCCACCGCCATCTTCTTCTTAATTAATATTAATCACTAATTGCATTTATTACGATTACGAAAGCCAAACAACTCTTATTCAACGTCTATTTAATGATATGTCCTCTAAATAATATTGGGATTATGTTACTTTCAAGTAATATAATATCTTATGAGGATTAATGATTTGAATATGGAGGAAAGTGTTTTAGTTAGAAGATTATTGAGATATGTTTTGTGTTTAGAAAACTGTATAATTATAAGTATATAGTTATAAGTATAAATAATTTTATCAATAATATTTATATAATATTTTATTTTTATAAATTTAATATATTTTATAATGCATAAACAATAATTATAATATGATAAAAATATAAATTTTAAATTAACACGGTATGATTTGAATTAATAATTATTTATCTTAAAAAAATCTTATCAACCTTTCAATTAAATAATTTTTTGATAAATTATATAATTAATTGTTTTTTGATTGAGCGAGTAATATTTTTATTCTCATATTATAAATTATTTTATTCATAACATTTATATATTGTTTTATTTTTTATTGTAACACTATAGTTACAATTTGAAATTTTATTCTAAATCAGTTTAAAAAAAATAGAAGAAAATTATTCTGATACTCAAATGTAAAGCTTCGGTAATTTTTTAAAAATATTTTAAACCTAAAAGAATTTTCCTTTTTGCATTTTATGTGTTTGAAACAAATTAAATTACGAATTATTTAATAAAAAAATATATATTTTTTTCTTAAAAATCAGCAGTCCATAATCTTATATTTAAAAAATAACGACAATTTCAATTACATCAAATAATTTATTATTACTATTAGAAAAAGAAAAAAAGTAGGCTAAAACTTATGGTCGGCTTATAGTAATCATTATCTTTTTGAAAGATAAATACTTAATGAGTATGATAGACACAAAAATTTATTGTTTTTACTATTAATAATTAAATAATTAGGGTTTGTTAATTTATAATATTTAATTTAGTTATATTAATAATTTAATTTATTAATATATTGATTATGAAAACTAAATTGATTAAATTTTAATAAGTCAGATTATATTTTTGTACCATAAAATATTTTTTTAATTAAAATAATTATAACAAGTTAAAAATTTAACATAATTTTTTTTTTTAAAAAGAATTAGCTTAATTAGGGTTAAGCTAAGCCTAACTAAAACAAACATTGATGGCCAGCTTAATTAAAAATTACTAGGAAATAGAAACCTTTCAACTCAAATCCCAAGTAGATTAGGCTTAAGCATTGATGTATTTATATAATACATAAAGTTTGTAAGGATAATTTTTCTTTGGTTGTTTGAAGTTATCAATATCTACCTATCTAATCAATTTCAATATTTGAAATTTTGTTATGAAAAATTTAATTGGATAAAAATATATAGTGAAGATATAATAGAACTTAGTCAATCTCATAAACATTATAGTAACTTTTGTATATTAAATAAAATTATATACCGTGTGAGTTATTTAATTTTTAAAAAATTATTAATAAGGTTTATATTTTATGAATTAAAATAAATATGAATTTATTACAAATATATTTGAGATAGACTCCCAATTTGCTCTTAAACTTGGTGTTATAAAAGAATCAACAGCAATATTATTATATTTAAACGAAAATTTACATGCAAATCTAATTAAATAAATAAATTAATTACTGGTTTTTAATATCTACATATATTATAGTCCACGGTTTTATATGGATGTCTAGGGCATGGTGCATTCACGAGGGAGGCCTTGTGAAAATCGCTTGGTATCCGTGCAATAGTTATAAATCATATAATTCTTCTGCACCCATTTCAACCTGTCTTGGCTGGTTGTATCCAAATCTTGCGACAGCCATGGATTTTTGGGTTTAGAGGAGGTACAAGAAGATCTTCCATTAGACCAGACGCAAGCATTTTTGTCGTTGAAATTCCTGTAAGAAGCCATGAAAGGAGCCTTGGACCAATCTGTCTTCACCCGTCCACCTCTCGTCGCCCAGTCATCGGCATTCCACAGACTGGAATAGATTCTCATCGGCTGATTCTTCGGAAATGGAACCCCAATTGACTCGTAGTTCTTGAACACTCTGATTGGAGTTCCATCGACTGAAAATCTGAAAATAACAAAACCAATAAATAAAAAAGGTCCGTATCAGCCTTTCATTGCGCATATATGTAGTATCGAAATATATATATAAATATATATATGAATGTAATTTTAGGGAATTGGTTGATTGGTATGGTTAAATACTTACATAATTTGCTGGGGATTCCATAGAATGGAATAAGTGTGGAAATCCGCAGTTGGGTCAAACCAGAGATAGAATTGCTGTTCTCTGTTTCCTTTGCCTTGGCTATACACATTGGTATGAAGAATATAAGGGTCGCCGCTGAGGTTTCCCAAGAATTCAAAGTCTATTTCATCCCATGTTGACCCCTTTGAAGATAACTATATAAAAGTAAAAGAAACCCATGTCAGCAACATTAACATATACATATATAATATATTGTACAGAAAGTTATAGGTTAATGAATTAACATACGTAATAGGCAGTGACGGTGCCAGCAGAGTTGCCAGGAACAAGCTTGAGCTGCATGTCAATCTTGCCGAAGAGATACTCTCTTCTTGATTGGAAACCAGAGCCGGAAGCCTTGTCAAGAGACAGAGTTAAGAGCCTCCCACTGTCAATAATCTTCCCACGGCCATCTCCCCATGTGACATCAACGTCTTGAAAGAAGTTACCGGCTGCATTTGCTAGTACGAAGTGGAAAAGTAGCATCAAAACAAATGATTTAGAACCCATTTTGAAGGATGGGGAATTTCCTAATTTGATTTGGGATTTTGAAAATATAAGAAGAAGTTCTGAATTTGTGAAGTGGTGAAGAAATGGGAGGGATTAGAAGGGTTTTTATAGATTGATTGGGAAGGAAAGGGACTGGAAAGTTCAGTAGTGGGTCAACTCAGTGGAGCTGTGGCCAGTTGGCTAATGAATTGAATTGAATGCAAATGGATTTGATTTGTGAAATCGATGAGAAGCAAATAGAGGATTTGGTTTGTGAAGATGATGGCACACGCGGTTTTGGTTAGTGACAGTAGAGACAAGGTGCGGGCCTAACGCAGATTCTTGCTTCACCAAATAATTATATGGCAGGGCCTACTGAAAACCAACACCGCCATTTTTGAGTTGGTGCGAAATTTGGGAAACGTGTATGGGTCTGTTCCACTGTGAAGGAGTAGTGGACGTAAAAACATAGTAAATATCAATAATATACATATATATATGTAACATATTTTTTTCGCTTTACAGTTTCTTCCAACTCAAGCTTTATTTATTTGTTGTGGGCGGTGTGACCTTTTTTTTTTTTTTTTTTTTTTTTTGGGGTTTCGATAAGGTCATTTAAGTAATTTTCAAAAATATAAATTTAAATTCTATTTTTAAAAAAATTTAAAAATTATAATTCATTAACAGAATTTCTTCGAGACATTAAGTCATTAAGCATTATTAGTTCAATATATTAAGTATTTGTTAATAATTAAAATAAAAATTAACTCAAGCATGCTAGCTATTTTGTGTTTTTGAGGTCTTTAAATAACAAAATTAATTTATTAATATTTTGATTATGTTTTATTTTTATCATTATTTAATTTCTTAATAATTTTCTTATTAATTTATTATTTATTTGTGAACAAAAATTTAAATTTTAATTATTTTGGGCTAGGTGTCTATGGCCAGATTTATGCCTGGGCTCGAATTATAAACTGGGGGAAGCTCGGGTTGGACCAAACTGAGCCGATTTGGTCCGGCTACCCCCAGCCCAGCCAGCAATCGCAACAGGTCAGCCGTTTAACAAACACACACATATGTATATATATCTACATATACATATATCACCCAAAATAACCATGCACGATCGATTTAAAATATATATCCCTAAAAAGTTAAAATATTAGAAATTATTTGATAAGTAAATCAGAAAGATATATTTAAATAACAATAACAAATCCTTTGTTGATGAGTTATAAAATATATTATAAAATATTATTAAATATGTCATTATTAAAGTTATCTATGTATATACATATAATATATGTATATATATATGTATCATATACTAGCTGTTGTCAAAGAGCACTCGGGAGGGAGGCCTTTCGGAAAGCGTTTCGTGTCTGTGCAGTAATTATATATCATATAACTCTTCTGCACCCATCTCATCCTCTTTAAACCAGCCGCGCCAAGTTTTTCTCTGATCCACGTCGAGTTTACGCCGCCGCAGGAAGACGACCCAGCCACCCACACGCAAGCTTCATCTGCATCAAATTTCCTAAACGACGCCGTAAAGGGTGCTTGTCTCCAATCTGTTTTCACACGACCGCCTCTCGTCGCCCAGTCGTCCGCATTCCACAGACTCGAGTGAATCCTCATCGTCTGCTTCTTTGGAAACAAAACACCAGAGGATTCCATGTTCTTGAACTCTCTTACTGGGCTCCCATCAACATAGAAACTGAAATATATGTATATATACAGGCACCAAATAAATAATATGTGAACGTTGCAGGCTTTTCCATATATAAAATAGATTAAACAGGGTGGCTTACATGATAGTTTGAGGATTCCAGAGAATAGAATAGGTGTGAAAATCTAGAGTAGGATCAAACCAGAGGCGAAACTGCTGCTCTCTGTCACGTTTTCCTTGGGTGATTACATTGGTGTGTAATGTGTAAGGATCACCGCTCAGATTTCCCAAGAACTCAAAATCGATCTCATCCCAGTTTGACCCTTCTGAAGATAACTATAAAGAAGTTTGAATATATATACGTAAGCTCAAAATTTATAACACGAAAAATAATTGGTAAAGTTAAGTGAAGGTCACGGGTTTAACATAATCCTGTTAAAATTACGGGGTAAAACAGAAGATAATTGGTAAAGCTTGTCCAGACATAGTATTGCATGATGAGTTATATATAATGTATATACATAATATGAGGTGACGGTGCCAGCAGAGTTGCCAGGAACAAGCTTGATTTGCATGTTGATCTTGCCAAAGAGATACTCAGCCTTGGACTGAAAACCAGAGCCAGAATCTTTATCGAGGAAGAGTTCAAGAAGCTGGCCATCGTCAAGAATCTTAACTTTGCTACCTCCCCATGTTATATCAAAATCTTGATTGAAATTACGCGCAAAAACCAGATCCAGATCATGGCTTATAACCACAAGAAACCCCAAGACTAATAGTAAAGCCGGTCCGGTGGGAGCCATTGGTGTCAAAATTAAGAAGTAGAATCCACGATCAAGGTGGGAAAATTAAAAGGGTTTATGGATTGGTGATGATAAGATGAGCTCTATGGTTCATGCAGAGACTAATTGGAAGTTCTTTTATAGGAAAGGGAAAGTGAAAGAAGGGGTTAATAAAGGAAAAGAGAGTTGTTAAAAGGCATGGCAAGCTGTGGAGGTGTGAGGAAGATGTGAACACAGGTGGCGAGAGGAAGGAGATGGCCGTAAAGACTGAGAGCTCGAGTGTGCGTCACAGAAGCGACGATTGGTCTCACAGCTTAAACACGTGATGGGCTCTTTCTTTCATTTTTCCTTTTGACCAAACATGTTTAAATCTATTGCCATTTGTTTAATTTCCATATATATATATATATATATATATATATATTATGAATATGGTTGGATGGAGTTGTGCTATATTTCTTTTTCTTACTCATTTGAAAGTTATTTTTTTATTTAGATTATATTTCATATTCATGTATAATTTATTTATAAATGTATATATTTTTATTCAAAATTTTTAACTTAAGGACATAACAACTATTTTTTAATTAGTTAAAAATTCTAAAGTTTAAGTTATTAAGAAATAACTTAATAAATTTTTATAGTTTTCATTGATAAAATAACCTTATTACTCTGAAATCTTTTTTCTAATGTTATTGTGAGGTTAATGTAATATTTATATTTATTAATAACTATTAAATATTATTGTTTACGTAATGGATAAAAAATATGTTTTATTTTATTTTTAAAATTTTAACTTACAGTATTCTAACACTCATTATTTAAAGCTAGCCATGCATGTCAAAATGCTATATATTTATTTTTTTAAAAACCCATAACAACAAAAACAAACATTAAATAAATCAAAAAAATAATCCTCCAATTCGAATGATCTTTAATTTTTGGATAAATTTTTGAAATGTCAAACATACTCATGATGATATTCACTAAAGATCTCATTTTAATTATAATCTTCTATTATATTCTTATAAATGAAAGTGTCATCTCTTCTAAATATCTATTTACATATAAGAATTTCATAGGCTACTTTACATTAGTGTAAATTATACTTGGACTTAGATCAAAGAAAATGAAATAAAAAATTGATTATCATATGGGTTATGATAATCCATTTCTTTAATTAATCCAAGCCATCGAATGAACAACATGCTGCAATATAGTATCTTTGGTGTATCATGTAAAAGCCCGGAATTTAAAAGAAAATAAAGTCATGAATTAAATACGAAAGCGAAATAATAAAATTTACGGTTTACATTCCTTACACAATAATTTACAGTGTCCAATAGGGTTATGTGAATGTCTATTTTAAAAGAAATTACAAAAATCAATGAAATAAACAAAAAAACCAATAACTGAGTATTGTAGGACGACATTCACTAGTTTTTGAAAGGAGTCCGGATGGTGAATTATTCACAACCCTTTTGTTGATCGGGATCTAGGTCTTGGTTCTCTTGATATAAAATAGTTAATGAAAGGGTGAGTTATACTAACTTAGTAAAAATATCATACTACTCAACGATACAGAAACTGAATATTGGTAAAAATCATAAAAACAACCAATGGAGCTCTTGATTTAAGTAAATTCATTTATTATAAGAAAAACTATTTATTGCATATATTTACTGTTACGAGATTTTCAAAATCGACCTATATAGATAATAATTCAAATAACATTTAAACCTTATATTCAAGAGAGTAAAAACAATAACTTTCTCTTTTTATTTGCCTAATAGTATCTCTGGGGGCCCATAGGGATGTCCCACCACGCATGAACTAATTTTTAACATTTTTAACTAATTGATTGTCCCTATACTCCGTCCGATATGAGCACTAAAAATATCATCTCTCAATACCCTATCCGGTATGAGGGTGAATCGGGTCGTCCTTTTACCCCATCTGGCTCACCTTCGCGGTTGGATGTTTTTTTTCGGTCAATCTGTAAAAAACAGAATGGTGAATACAATGGTAAAAAAATTGCACGAAATGAAAAACGGAAAGGGGCTCATCGGAGGCGGTTTCAGGTTTTACCTGCGACAGCGCCGCTGGACTTTGCCCAAAGTTTTCCGACTAATCTGCCATTCTTTTTACTCCGATTTGACCATGAGGGTGCTCGGAATCAAATTTCGGAGGTCGCTTCGGTGCAGCGGCGGGCAGCGGTTAGCTGGCGACTATGATTTTGGTTCGGTGTGATGTGAGATATCTATAATCGTCTCGCTTAAATCTAGACCATTCATCGCATTTGATTTTGACCGTCCAATCGTGTTTCATCTTGACCGTCCGATCGCGTTTAAAGAGAAAATGAATCGAAACCATTCATCGCGATTTGATCTCAACTATACGATCGCATTTAAAGAGAAAATGAATCTGGACTGTTCATCGCATTTAATTACGACCGTCCGATCGCACCTAAGGAGAGAACGAATCCAGACCGTCCACGCGCGCGGGAACGCTTCTGGGCCGTCCGATCACGGGCACATGGATTGCTCGCATGGCCTTCCACTGGCATCGAACCAGTATGCCTTGTCACGCGGCGCGCTCCGATTCGTCGAGGCTGCTGACTGAGTGGTCCTATGTGGCACAATTTTTTTTAATTACGTTTTGACCTCCGGTTTCTGATTTTCTTTCAAAAACACAATCCAAACTTAAATTTCACATATTTTTTTGAAAATTATTTTCACTTTCATCATCAACCTATTTTTTTTTTCATAATTTCACATTAAATAAAAATTTATTAATTTCAAAATTATATTTTTATACATTTTTTAAATTTTAAAATTAATCATGGGTCAAATTCCGAGCTCTGGTATTACATATCACACATTGCATGTTGAGGATACTAGTTGATGTTCCAAGGATTCTCGACAGTAATTTTTTGTTGGGTTTTTCGTTAATCATTTTCTGGTATTTGCTTTAGTTTATGGATTGATTTTCTTATGGTAGATAAATTTATGACCAAGAAAAAAGAGAGTATAATATTAAAAATTAAATCAAACTATATATATATTTTTTAAAAAAGTAGATTCGTACTGAATCAAAGTTCATGAACACGGAAACGTATTTGAATCCACAACGAAAAAAATTGTTACATTCTGTGGTAAATTTTTCAAATCAACACGTGACTGTAAAATACTGATTTTTACTGGATAACAGGAAACAAACAAAACATACATGTGATTTGGGGACCATAATCTCATTTTATATTATTTGACTTTTGTTATTTTTCATTTTACTCATCATAAAATGAGAAATTATAAATATACTATCTGTACATATTTTAAATTTATACTTAAACCCGATGCATTAAGACATATAACTGTTTAATTGTTATCGATCCCTTTTAAACAAGTCTAATAAACTGATAGTCTGTTAGGCACACCAAAACTCATATTAAGTTCATTCGTTAATAAAAAAAAATTCAACATATAACTCTTTCTTTGATTATGGGAGTAGTTTTAGTGTCGGTTTGAGTATAATTTATGTGTTTTAAAAGTATTTTATAATTAAATGTGTACAAATAAATTTGTGTGTTTTAAAAGTATTTTATAATTAAATGTGTACAAATAAAAGTTTTTTCCACCAAAATTAAAAACAAAATTTACTTTTAATATATCTATATATAAATTAAAAAAAATATTAATTTTTATATTAATATTTTTGTATTAAAATTACTTTTAATTAATTAAAACAAATTACGTATTCTATTTTCTTTTAATTTGTCCAATTACTACTGCCGCCACCCTCTACTACCAACTAGTTGCTGCCCATCGCCCGTCACCAGTCGTCCACAGCCCACCAACCATAGTCCACCGTTGATCGCCCTCTGCTTCCTGCTGGTTGCCCTCCACACCCCCTTTTGGGCTTCGTTGGCCTTCGCCAACCGCCTGCTAGGCACCTCCGTCCGTCATATGTCATCGGCCATCCCCCACTGAATTCTTTTTCTTTGGAGAAAAAATTCACTCTATCTCTTTTTTCTTTTGGTATATTACTTCTTCAATTAACATATTTTAAGAAAATAAAATAAGCTTAGGATAGAAGTTGTAATTTACATGTCAGGTCCCAGGTATATTTGTCGTTTGATCTACGATATCTGGGTCTTTTTGAACATTATGAATAAATATTAATTAGTGTATTTTAGATTTCTTTTTAAAATTAAATTAATTATATTAATAGTGTCTTTCAATTCATTTTCTTTCTTTTCTCTGTCAAATTTCCTATTTAAAAAACAATGGGTTGAACACCACTTGAGCCAGCTAGAATATGCTTAAGAGCTGACATACTATTTCTGAAGGCAATAAGCCTGAATTCAGTGCTGAAAACCATTAGTCATTCCACTCATTATTAACTTACGAAATGCGTCCAAAAGCAAAAGCCATGTTCAATGAATAGTTCGGAAGTTTTACTAGAAACTCACTTCCCATCTTTACGTGGCATCCTATAAATGGTTCCATAATCTCCCTACACGCTTCCAATTAAGCAACTAAAAAAGCCCAGGCTAGGTGGATTATTCTTTATAATCGGAACATAATTAATCACTCACCTCTGTTAATTACCCACAAGGACTTAAAACCAAACTATTAGTGAGCTGTAATTTTGTATAAAAAGAAGTATTTTTGAATTTTTACCATTTGGGTAATGTCTAAATAGTTGTTAACAGTTGGTAATTTTGTAGATAATGCTGTGACAATGATGAGGATAAACACTAGTAACTTTGGGTAAGTTCCAATTTTCTCTGAGTTCGCACTTACCTTTACAAACCCCCTTCCCATAATTGACAATAGTATTCTCTCTTCTACTCTGTGCTCCCCCGCCTATATAAATATATTCCAATCATCAAACCAGTATCTCATCAAATTTTCAATTAGTCTTCTTCAAAACCCTTTTACTTCAAACCAATAACACCAAGTTTCAGTCAATGACTTTCCCTTCTTCTTTGTCTTCTTCTTGTCATTTATTTTCTTCAGCAATTATATTGCTTTTGTTGGCATCTATACTGATTGCATACGCTGGTAACTTTTACCAGGATGTTGATATCATATGGGGAGATGGCCGAGCAAAGATTCTCAACAATGGCTCTCTCATCACTCTCTCTCTTGACAAAGCCTCTGGCTCTGGCTTTCAATCCAAAAACCATTATCTCTATGGCATGTTTAGCATGCAGATTAAACTTGTTCCCAATAACTCTGCTGGCACTGTCACAACCTTCTATGTAAGTATATGTACTCCACACCTGTACATACACGTATAAGGAATAATTATAAAAACCCATTATGCTAATTAATTGATATGTGTGATTTGGATATAATTTGTGCAGTTAAGGTCAGAAGGGTCATCATGGGATGAGATAGATTTTGAGTTCTTGGGCAATCTTAGTGGTGATCCTTATATTCTTCACAGTAATATTTACACACAGGGGAAAGGGACGAGAGAAAAGCAATTTTACCTCTGGTTTGACCCAACTGCTGATTTTCACACCTATTCAGTCCTCTGGAATCCTGCACATATAGTGTAAGTACACATACATATATATATATCAGCTAAATGTTTTGTATATATCAAATTAAATTTTTGTATTAATATTGAATTTGTTATTATTATCATTATTATCTCAGGTTCTACGTTGATTGGGTAGCAATCAGACAGTTCAAAAATTTGGAATCCATTGGTGTTCCTTACCCAAAAAGTCAACCAATGGTAATGCAATCTACCCTGTGGAGTGCTGACTGGGCTACCAGAGGAGGTCGTGTAAGGACAAATTGGACCCTAGCACCTTTTACAGCTTCCTTCGGCAATTACGATGTCGACGGCTGTGTTTGGTGTAATAAGACGTCGTCCTCCTCTTGCAACCAGACCTATAAAACACGGTACTCCCAGTCCAGAGACCTAAGTTTATTCGATCAGAAAAAGCTCCAATGGGTTGAACATAATTACATGATTTACAATTACTGTGAGGACACCAAGCGATTCCCTAAGGGTCTTCCACCGGAGTGCGCAACCAAGACCGAGTCATAAAAATAGTCAAATAATTAATTACCTATTGATTAATTATTTATAGTAATTTATTCTTTTTTTACAGTTGTATTTATTACCAAATAAATTTCGACAGTAAATTAACAGGAATAATTGGTGTTGCAACTATAGAGATTTTGTATACATGGAAAATGTTTCCATTCTACCATGTGTATAAAATAATTTAATTTTTACCAATGAAGTTATGGTTTCTTTTGCCCATAAATTTTATTATGGAAGTTGTGCTGGAGTGCTTATCTTTTTGTTTTTAAAAAATTATTTAATATTAATTACATCTTGTATTATATTTGTATTAACAATTTCAGAAATGATTTCGAGAAATGTGTGCTGTGATACCACCTCTGACGGTCCGAATTCTATTTTAATATATATTTCAAATGAGGTCCAAAACATATTTTAAAAATCTTTCTCCTAAATTCTATTGGTTCTATACCTTTTAAAATTTATACGTTTCATCTTATAAAAGATGGTTTCGATAAACGTGTGTTCTTATACCACCTTATACATGAGGTTAAGAAGTTTAGAGTCAATAGAATTTAAGAGAATGATCCTTAATAAATGTAATGATCCTTAATAAATGTTTTACACATTCTCTAAAATATTTGTTAAAATAGAATTTAGAGTTGTTACACATTCATATTCGGTTTATTTTTTATCAAACTTAAATCAAAATTATTCAAACCTTAAATGTTCTCTCACACATATTGACTTGGTCCAAATCAAACTTTGAGTTGAATCCAATTATTTAATTATAAGATAGACTCATCTCAATTTGTTTCCATCCAAAAATACTTTTGTTTTCCATGATTTCACAATCTGCATGGCGTATTAAGATGCTGCTCCAGCTAGTTTCTTTTCCAAAAAATAATAATAATAATTATAAAATTAAAATAAGGCTTCTAGAAATTTTGATCTTCAAGCATTGACCAACCAGATTCAATTCCAAGCCGCGGACAAGCATATATTGGATCCAGATTATGTTGGGCTGGGCTAATAATTTTGTTTGAAAGTTATCTTTACTGTATTATGTAATGGTTTTAAAATGCAGGGTAATAAGGGCCACACAACAGGTACAACTTCAGAACTTGAAGAGAGTCACATGCTTGACCCACCTGACTGTTCAACCTGAGTTAATACAAAGAATAAAGGAAGCTCAGCCAGTCGATTCTACTCTAGCAGCCCTCAAGAAAGATGCAGAACATGGAGTTAATTCAGAATTTTGAGTCTCTGCCAATGTGATGCTTAGATTTCAGGACATGGTGTGTATTCAGGTGACAGTGGGTTAAAAAAGAACGTCATGACATAGGCCCATACATCAAAGTTTGTCATGCATCCTAGAAGCACTAAGATGTATCAAAGTATGCGACCCCAATTTTGGTGGAATGAGATGAAAAAAGATGTGATCGACTTTGTTTCTAAGTGTTTGGTATGTCAGCAGGTCAAGGCAGAGCATCAACGCCCAGATGGGCTACTTCAGCCATTACCAATTTCGGAGTGGAAGTGGGAACATATCATAATAGATTTCTTGACAGGATTGCTTAGGGCACATTCAGGACATGATACAATCTGGGTAATTGTTGATTGACTCACCAAGTCTTCCAACTTCTTAGCCATCAGGATGACTGACCCCTTAGACAAGATAGTAAGAATGTACATTCGGGAGATTGTGAGGTTACACGAAGTGTTAGTGACAGTAGTGTCCGATAGGAACCATAGGTTCACTTCTCGATTTTGGTCTAGTTTTCAGCAAACCATGAGAACGAAACTATCCCTTAGTACTGCAGTTCACTCTCATACTGATGGACAGTCAGAAAGGACGATCCACACATTTGAGGATATGCTCCGAGCTTATGTTCTTGACTTTGGGGGCTATTGGGATATTCATTTACCCCTGATAGAGTTCACCTACAATAACAGCTACCAAACAAGTATTGACATGGTTCCGTACAAGGCATTGTATGGCCGCCCATGTAGATCGCTGATATGATAGGAAAAAATGGGTGATCGAAAACTGTTCGACCCAAATCTCGTAGATGATACTACAACCAAAATAGTTAATATCAGGAAGAACATTCAGACGACTCAAAGTAGGTAGAAAAGTTATGCGGATGTTCGGAAGAGGGATTTGGAATTTGAGAAGGGTGATCGTGTGTTCATTAAGGTCACTCCTTTTAAAAGAATCAGTAGGTTTGGCAAAAGGGAGAAACTAAATCTCCGGTTCATTTGGTCATTTGAAATCTTAAACAGAATTGGCACTGTCACCTACAGACTGACACTGCCTCTAGAACTATGCAGGGTCCATAATGTGTTCCATGTATCCATGTTACGCAAGTACAACCCGAACCCCCCTCATGTCCTAGCCTGCGAGCTCCTTTTGCTCCAAGAGGATATGTCCTACGAGGAAGTACCAGTCGGTATTATGGACCAGAAGAGAGAGTACTCCACAACCGGAAAATTTGCTTTGTTAAGGTCCTATGGCAGAATTACACACCGAGAGAGGCCACATTGGAGTTAGAATAAGACTTTAGAGTCCAATATCCTTGACTATTTGATTGAGTGAGAGAGAGACAAATTTGAGGGACCAAATTTCTTTTAAGGGGAGAGAGTTGTAATGCCCTTAATTAATTGATTTTAATGTAATTAAAATTAATGTATAAATATAATTTTTAAGTTTTTGAACTTTTATTTAATGTAAAAATGAAAAAAATTAATTAAATGATGAAATTGAAAATAATTTTGGGAAAAAAAGGTGAAAATTTAGGCTATGATGGTATTTTTAAAAGAAAAATCGGAAACCGGAGGTTAAAATACAACTTAAGAAAATTGTACCACGTAGGACGCCCAGTCAGCAGCCCCGATGAACCAAAGTGCATCGCGTGGCAAGGCACACAGATGCGGTGCAAGGCGAGAGGCCATGCTGGCGATCCACGTGCCCACGATCGGACGGTCTAGACTTATTCCCGTGCGCATGGACGGTCCGGATCCATTCCCTCTTTAAATGCGATTGGATGACCCAGATCAAAATGCGATGAACGGTCCAAATTCACTCCATATTTAAACGCGATCGGACGGTATAGATCAAACGCGATGGACGGTCCAGATTAAAAGGAGATGGATATGAATAATCATCTTCACACCAAACCCAAACCTTAGTCACCAGACCCCCTCGCCGGAGAAGAAGAGTCAGTCGCTAGGAAGGGATTCGACCGCCGCCTGCCGCCGCACTAGAGTCACTTCTGACCGCCAAAAGAGATAAAAAAATTTCATTCGCTTGAAATTAAATTTTAAACACCCCCATGGCCAAATCAGAGCAAAAGGACCTATGGATGAGCCAGAAACAACAGACAAAGTCCAGCAGTGCCGCCGCGAGAAAAAGCAAAAACTGCCTCCAAGGAGGCCCTTCCCAATTCTCCATTTGTGTAATTTCTCCACCATTGTAATCATAATCTCTCTCTCTACAGGTTGACCGAAGCAAAACACCTAACCGCAAAAGTGAGCTAGTGGAGCCACCGCACCAGAGAACCTCGCTGCTAGTAAGCTTCAGTTTTTTGATTTTTTTTGCCAATCGAGATCCCTTTAACGTGTTTTTCGTAGGGATTGGTACAAAATCAGCCAAAAATGGCCAAAGAATAGCCAACCCGACGCAAATTGTCGCTGCAGGCGGCGGTGCCATCGTTTGGAGCACGGCGGAGCTGCCCATGCCAGATTTTCAGAATTTACTAAAAAGGGTTTCTAACACTGGTTTTAGATTTTTTTGGGTATTTCTAGGTACTTGAAGCGTGTTTTAATCCCCAAAAAAAATTTAAGGAACTCGAAGACCACTAGTAGACGCAATAAAAAAAACTTAGTATTCGGATACCAATTCGAATAAGAATCCCTTACCTTATTCCCTGTTATGGAATTGAAATTTAATTTTAAATAATATGGTATTTTGTGAAACTTAAAAAATATTCGTAATTAATTACAGGCTACTAATGGAGCCAGAACCGATTACTTATTACTTTTTGCTATGTTTACTTATTGCTCGATTTTACAGTTTTCGAATGCATGATGATACACTAAAATTGGTATGATGAGGTGATTGTGTTTCCTTGATGCATGTATTGCTTATTTTATATAATTACGGTTAAATTGGGTAACTAAAAACTAAAAGTAAACGGAAAATTATTTGATTAAGTGAATTGATGAATGACAGCCTTACTGGATATCCTGAGAGATGGTGGACGGACCGGGTATATAGAGAATCCTACCGTGAACGTTATCTCATACCGGACAGGGTATCAAAGATTGATAATTTGACGCTCATACCAGACGGGGTATGGGGACGGCCCGTTATTTGAAAATGTTGAATAAAAGTTTGCGTGTAGTGGGGATATCCCTATAAACCCCCATGGATATCAATAGGCTGATAAAAGAGAAAAGTTATTGTTTCGACTGATTGTATATGAGATTATGGTATTATTATGTTCTTGACTCTATAGGTTGGGTTTTGGAAATCTCGCTACACTAAGCATGCGGTAAATGATTTTATTCATGATAAATGACTTTACTTAAATTAAAAGCTCCATTAGTTATTTTTATGATTTCTACCAACCTTCAACTCTGTGTCGGTGAGTAGCGTGATATTCTTACTGGGCTAGTGTATCTCATTCTCTTATTAACCATTTCAGATCAAGAGGACCAAGATCCAGAGTCCGATCCACAAGATGGTTGTGAGTAGGATGCTCAGTTGTTTGTTCTCCATTTATTTCTTTGATTTTTCGTTATTTTTTTTAAAATGGTCATTTCCATAGCTTATTGGGTAATCTGAATTATTGTGTAACGAATGTAAAGCCTAACTATTTATTTCGCTTCTGCACTAAATTTGTAATTTATGTCTTTTGGAGTTCATGTGCCGTTACATGCTGGAGTCACATTTGCAAGGAAGGAGGATGGGACGTTAAACTTATGTATTGACTACAGAGAACTGAATAGGGTCACGA